TACTTAGCTTGAAATAACTAATCGCGCGGCCGATTCAAAAAGGGAAAAATAAGGGATGTGAATAAAAAGATAAGGAGTGGATGTGCGACGTAAAAATGCAGCGCTATCATTTTAAGACATTTTCCTCTTGCGATAAACTAATACCCAGGTTTTACCTGGACCCTTCTCCCGAACAAGAAACTTTTCCGAATATCTGTGTGAATACAAGTTTTGTATTACACGGTTCGACAAAAGAATGAACAGAAGCGAGAATAATCATTTTTTGCTAATCTTTCGGACACTAAATATAATGTCCCAGCAAGGCCTAATGCCCAAACTAATACCCAAAAAATACTTAGTAATGTCCAGTACAGTTAAACCTAAAGTTTATTGCGCCAAAATTGTGACTTGCATAAACTTAAGGATCTAAATTTTGTTACAAAAACTTAAACGTTTTTTTCAGATCACTGAATACTAATCTGATGTTAAGGTTGATAAATTCAAACTGACGGAGTCAATGTATCAAACTGGCGGATATCAATATATCAAAAATAAAAATAAAATTATTTTTAATTTAACTTCAACGAATTACTCTCCAAATTGCGACGAGATACAATTTGGCAGACGAGCTCGCATTCACCCCTACGGTGTGAGAAGCTGCGGGAAACGATTATTCTCATTTTTGTGCTCGAAAAAAAGTTATTTTTTATTGAACAGTGTCATTAGTGACTTTTAATTTATGAGTGTTTAAACAATAGGAAATTTCTCCTGATTCCAAGAAATATTCTTCAGAAGACGCGGATAATATTCGTGAATATAATCCAGAAGAGCTTGTCTGATTCGTATTGGTCGAGGGGGAAACCGTTGAGGGCATTGTGGTGGATTTGCGGCATTACTGGGCATTACTAGGCAATTTTTGGGTATTGGTTGGGGCATTAGATCTTCCTGGGGCATTATAAAGGTAAAATAAGATAAGATAAAACAAGATAAATAATATAAAATAAGGTAATAAGATAAAGTAATGCCCACTGGGCATTAGTGGGCATTGGTGTATAAGATTTGCCCCCCCCCCTCCCCGGCATTGACAATACGACATACTCCATTTACAGAGATACAAATCAAATTTTAATTCTCCAAGCAAGATGCACCTTTTATAAAAGTCACTTTTCGTTTCCGCCATTTTTGTATACTTGTGTACAAAGTATACATGGGCGCGTACGTATGTATACGCGACTTGATATAAAAGTAACGTAAATAATGAATAGCGAAATTAGAACCAATGTATTAGAAACTGTGCAAAATTTTGAGGCAAACCCAAAGATGTGTTTACGTTCAAGGCGTGCCGGTTGGCGCCTTATTAATATTCATAAATAAAGCAGCCTAAAGCCCGTATCAGACTACGGATTGAAACTGGGATTAGATTGAAATTTGACCAATCAGAGTAAAAATTACTCAACTTGAGATTAGTAAACTTTACTGTGATTGGTTAAATTTCAATCTAATCCCAATCCGTAGTCTGATACGGACTTTAGGCTGATGGCAGAGAACGTAAACGCTTAAAGCCCGTATCAGACTAGATTTCCGACTCTGACTCGACTACTGACTCGGACTCCCGACTATGATTCAACCAATTAGAGTGGCGTCTATTCCCGAGTCGGCAGTGAGGGTCGGCCGGTGCTTCGCTATGATTGGTTGAATCATAGTCGGGAGTCCGAGTTAGTAGTCGAGTCAGAGTCGGGAGTCTGTAGTTTGATACGGGCTTTAGTCGTAAGAATAGTAGACTATGATTGGCTAATTTCAAGAGGTAAACCGTTGAGGGCATTTGTACAGCTTTGCGGCATTACTAGGCATTTTTTGGGCATTAGCTTGGGCGTTAGGCCTTGCTGGGGCATTATAAAGATAAAATAAGATAAATAAGATAAGATAAAGTAATGCCCACTAGGCATTGGTTAGGTTAGGTTAGACGATAAAATTTTTCAAGCACGTTTCCACCGAGGGTCAGAGTCGGGCTAGAGTCAGGTCAGAATCGAGTTGGGGTTTGGCATTTTGGTGTTTCCACTGCAAGAGCGCTCACCCCAACCCGACTCTACCCGAATTCTGACCCGACTCTAGTCCGACTCTGACCCTCGGTGGAAACGTTGTCATGGATTTAGCACTCCCGGAGCGATTAATCCTGGTCCAGTCGAAAACGTTATTACTCGCGCGCGCGGTTCTAGCTACGCTTATACTTGGCGCGAGACACCACCGTGTCTCGTGATCCCGTTTTACCATTCGGTGAGCAACAGAGATAAAATTACACCAGAGCACTTATTATATTATTTTATCTTATTTATCTTGTTTTATCTTCATAATGTCCCAGCAAAGCCTAATGCCCACAAAGTACCTAGTAATGCCCAGTAATGCCTCAAACCTGTACACCACAATGCCCTCAGCGGTCTTCCTCTCGTAGAATTCTATTTATTAAATTAAATAATTGTTTTTATAAGTAAGCAATCCAATTTTCTTTGCTGTGAAAATTACATCTTGGTAAACATTTTACAGAATTAAAATTTAAATTCTTTAATTTAAAATTATCTATTTTGATATTTAATAAATACTTAAATTAAAGAAATGCATATTTCAAATTTTTTATTATTTCTAAATTTAAGTTAATAAGCTATTAGGAGCCACCTAATGAACAATTTTCTTGAGTAAAGTAATATTTTTCTTGGATTAAGATTTTTTTATCAGTGTAGATACTCGATTTTTTTACTATCCTGCAGCCAATCAATATACTTAAAAAATTGGTTGTACAGCAAATGTAATATTAGCCCAAGTCGTTAGTCCGAAGTCGAAACTATATGTCGGTCCTTTTTCTTTCGCGCAGAAATACGACATGTAATTGCAACTTCTGACTAACAAGTCATTGTAGACGGAGCCTTAATCTCGCATACGATATTTTATGAAAGTCACCAGAATATCGCACTTAATATTATAGCGAAATATCGTATGCGATATTTTTCGATAAAATGCCGGGTAAAGTATTAGAGACCCGGGGTCTCGAGAAATATCATGGACGATATTTCACGAATATAGTAACATTCTAAGCACATTCCAGTGAGAATGTTAAAGTAATGTTCTGGTAATATTTTCAAAATATCGTACGCGATATTGCTCGAGACCCCGGGTTTCTAATACTTTACGCGGCATTTTATCGAAAAATATCGCCAGTTTCACAAACGTTGGTTAACAGCTAATCAAAGGTTAATTGACTCTCTGTCTTTTCTTAGGCCCGGTTGCACCAACGTTGTTTAACTGTAAACTTAGCTTAAGGGGTTAGGCCACCTTAACCGAATCGAAATCAGTGTCAATTTCATAAAGTCGAGACACCAAAACTCCTTTTTCGTTGATACACTCAGCGGTAGATAACTTCATGGCTACACCTTTGGACCTAAGACCTAAGACAAAAACACAAAAAATTGTATTATCTAGACACTAAAAACTAGAGAAATACATATGGATTTTTCAAAATAATGATTTTTGTAGAATTGTATGTACGAATACGAATACAAAGTTCACTTTTTGGCCAAAAAATTTTGTGTAAAAATATTAATTGCACAAAAAGTTTTTAATATATTGCAAAATCCATATGTATTTCTCTAGTTTCTAGTGTCTAAATAATAAAAATTTTTTGTTTTTGCTTAGGTCCAAAGGTGTAGTCGTGAAGTTGTCCACCGCTAATGAAATTGAGTTTCGGTGTCTCGGTTTTACCGCCTCTATTTTACATAAAAAATAAACCGAACAAATTTTTTTTACCTTAAAGACATGTTAAATACATACCTACTTTTGAATTTTGTATATATTTTGTTATATTTCTAAAAAAAATCAACAAAAATGACATTGATTTTTGATCCGTTCAAGGTGGCCTAACCCCTTAATTCGTTCTGTCTCTTTCCAACTGTTACTTTAGAAAGAGACAAGTATGAATTAAACCAAGAATAAAGTTGAGCGACGTTTGGTGAAACCGGGCCTTAGGCCTTAGGCATTAGGCATTAGGCATTAGGCCTTAGGCCCGGTTTCACCAACGTTGCTTAACTTGAAGCTTAGCTTAATTCGTTCTTTGTCTCCTTCCAACTGTTAATTTAGAATGAGACACACATGAATTAAACCAAGATTACAGTTAAGCGACGTTTGGTGAAACCAGGCCTTAGACAACAAAATAGAAAAGGATAAGAAATTGACTGAACTCTGGTTAACAGTTAACCGACGTTTGCGAAATTGGCCCTAAGGGTCCCACGTTTTCTAAGTCTGCCCGGCATTTTATCAATACGTCGCGTCGACTATTCTTGTGACACGGTCGCTCAATTTGTCACAATCTGACCGAAAGGTCGCCCCGGCCACGTTTCGCCGGTAGCACGCGAGAACCGCGTCCTGGTGATGTCCAACTCCTGGATACCAGCGTTAACGAGAGTGAGTGCGATACAGTCGCAAAGACAAAGATCGCGCCATGTATAACGCTACGAAGACGAAAACAGTAACATCGCGCGCAAAGACCAGTCAGGAAAGGGAGGGAGGGGGGAGAGCAAGAAAAGCTAGATGTCTCCTCTTTGCGAACCCTACCACCGCCATATCATCGCCATTGGTGTATTACCGTGTCGCCCAGCACCTAGCGCCACAGCCCGTGGTGAGATTTCAAACCAAAGGACGCTCTTCATTTTTCTCCCTCCACTTGCATACATAGAGAGTGCGTTCCGTTTCATGCACGATGTACATAATGCATCATTTATCCTTCTTCAACATTTGGCGAATACCAAGGATAAATGATGCATCATGCGCATCGTGCGAGAAACGGAACGCACCCAGAGTCTCGCAATCTATTCGCCGTCACATGGATAGGCGGTGCGCGTCTCTGTATGGTGTGAGTGGAGGGGGAAAGGACAAGTATGTACACGGTATTCATCCGACCTAGCGCCTAGCGCCGGTAGCAACACTAGCGCCGCCGCTGTCGCCAATACGGTCGTCTATCTAACCTCAAACCTTACCTTTGTTGATGCGAACCTCGATGATCTGCACGTCGTCGTCGTCGTCACCCATCTTCTTCTCGTTAAACTGAATATCCATGCACATAATTCCACGCCGTCGTGTGGAACCTTGTTCGCGACACGGCCACTATGCCGCCGCGCACTCGTGACATTTACATGAAATTGAACTTGTACAAGTAGATGAGTGCGGGCGCGAACGCGCGCGAAAATTTGTACGGAGGAACCGGAAGAAGTAGCCGCCGTCGTCGTCGCCGCCGCCGCCGCCGTCGCCACCACCGTCGCCGTCGTCGTCGTCGCGTCGTAATCAACACGCGCGAGAGATCGCTGTTCGCACTTTTCGTTCCGTTGCTCTCTTACGTAGCCGGGAGACAATGGGAGAGAGAGAGAGAGAGAGAGAGAAAGAGGGAGGGAGAAAACGACAGAAACGCGGACGGGTCTCAACAGGTCTGGACGTATCTCAGCAATTCCGTGCCTCAATACATCCTCGTCTCCAACACTCGCGTGCGTATTTGCTGTACCGTAAGCACTACCGATGTCGCCGAGGTCGCTGTTGATGCACTACACGGCTCTTGGCGCGATGTCACATAGCGACGGGCGTACACGCTCGAAGCAACACGTCGCTCGCTGGCGCGATTCTCCACGATTCTCTGCCGTTCCGCGTTTTCGACTGTTTTGCTAAGAAGCCGACCGGGTTCAGAATGTTCCGATCAGATTTGAATGTGGCACACGTTGCCAGTTCTTTCTCATACTCTCTCCTCTTCTCTTACACAAACACATATATACACACAAATGTTCACTCTGTCTCTCTCTCTCACTCTCCTTCTCTATCGCTCGCCCCTCGCGTTCCCTCTCGTTCTCTCTCTCTCTCGCCCCCCTAACCTCCCCCTAACTCACCCCCCTTTGCCCCCCCCCACCCATTTCCGTCTTATGTACTTAACGGTTGCGACGTTGCCGCACATCCGGTACCGCGTGGCCGCATGGTGGGGGGTGGAGAATTTCGACGGAGTGGGAGAAAGTACATAGGTGCCGACGGTCGCGTAGTGGGGTGTTACCCGTTGAAACGACGAATGGCGTGACGGGGCGCGCAAAGGGTGGGGATAGTACATAAGCGCAAAAAGGGGTGGGGAGGATAGGGGAGGAGCGAGGGGGATTTCGTTTTGAAATGGAATTTTCCATGAAATTGTCTGAGCAGCCGCGACCGTTATTTGGTCATGTGATCACGCCGGAAATCGTCGAGTCCATACGCGACGCAGGCGCCCTCGTCTTACGTGCGGAAATTGTTGCCCATGTCCACTTTGTTTGTCGAAGATATTGATCCTTTAATTGATCCTAGAATATATTTACAACCGGGTGCTGTCGTAAGAGTAGGCAATCCGACGTATGTCGTTAGCCGGTCGTAATTAATCTTCGTTTTACAACAAATATAAAATTATTTATTGGTCGATTAATTCAATGATGCACGATACAAAGTGGCAAATGGTAAAGTTTGTACATGTGTGTGGAAAAAGTGCTGCTCGGCGGCCAAAATAATTATTCTACGCCAATTATATGTACCCCCAGTTATTGTAATACGCATTGCTCGTCGGATGTTCGTTGCAGGGAATCCATATTTTTGGTAGCTAAGAGTCCCTTTGTACATTCCGCTTCCTTCATCCAGATCTGTACCTGTCAATTGCAAACAGAGAGCGTACATTATGAATACAGGCACGGGCGTATATTTCGACTCTAAGGACTAACAAAGCTATGTAGATACCTAAATGTTACCGCTTGAACGCTCGCGCAAAAATGTCGATAAACATTAATGTATTTTCGTTTAATTTACAAGCGACAAAATAATGTAACACAACAGCAGTTTAACCTCCTCGGGTAAAGTCCGATTTGGTGACTCCACCAGCCTCGAATAAGAAGAAGAGCCTTTCGTCCGGAGTCGCCTCGTGTAACATGTACCGACAGCTTATTAGAGAAGCCAAGTGTACCAAGCAAGGGACATCCCAGGGTAAATTGCTGTTCGCGCTTCCGCCTTATTTTCACAATACACATATTCACAAATCTATCACCGTGTAATTAGTACGCCACTTTCCGGGACGATTGTCTCTCAAATCTCCTTACGTTTATACAATACTATCTTAAACTATTCGTTGAGGCTGCTTGAGTTGTGAAAGAATACAAGAAGATATCCTTGAAGGGACAGCGGCGTAAAAGCATTTCAACCAAACCACGTAGCAAACTTCCCTCTTGTCAGACGCGTACAATTGTAGATTTAAAAAAATCGTGGTCGTTATCAGCGCATCTACCGAATCGTCTCGAAAGTCTCTTGGCACACATTAGATGGATATTTCAATGCGCGATTTTTATTTGCATTAATAATTCATTTTATTTTATTTCATCTTTTGTACGTGTATTTTGTGGTGTTTTCGCAATACAGTTCGCAGAAAGCGCCTCAAGAAAGGGAGATTTTGGAAATGACACTTAAATGACGCGAAACGTAATATCACCTGCTTGTGCAGCAAATCTCTTCTTCGGCCTATCGGTTCCTTACCCAGCAGAGGCACAAGTACACTTAGGCAGGACTGAAATTTTTCTAGGGCCTGAGCGTAACTGCCTTCAGCGAGATATTGCTCGGCAGCTTCTCCTATTTCAAGCGCGTCCACCATGCCCGTAGTACTTTTACTAAGATTTCCTATCGATAAACAAAGTATGTCACAGCTACGTTTTAAGTTATAAGAGTTGGAGTTTCGGACTATTATTTTAAATATTGGTACTCTTAGCTTATTATAAACTACAGATAGAGAAAAGTCGCTTATTGGAGACGCGCTCCTAATATGAGATAGCGGAGTTTATGCTAAATTAATAGACACCATCTGTTATTAAATTAATAGATTCCATCGTGAAATTATTGGCCCTGGGATGAAACTTGTTTAGTGGAAAATTATTTGTTAAATGGTGTAATTGTTGCAGAGAAAGACTGGGGATTAAATTTGGATTTAACACTCGCTTTCTCATATTAGTAACCTATCTCATAATAGGGGATTTTTCTCTAATAAAAAGCGATTATGTAACTCTTTATTTGAGATAGGTACTTTATTCTGGACATTTCAACACGATACAAACGTAATTCGTTGTAGGTGATTGCCGAGCTTTTCTCTGAAGACGGTATCCTCTGCAGGGATCTATTGGTCCCTTTATTTGTGGGCGCCGGGCGCTTCTTTTCGATACTTTCATCTACAAACGCCACCTTAAGCGTTTCTGCTCTCCTTATGTAATCATTCACGCGATGGCGCAATACCTCTTTTCGTTTCAGATCACTCTCATCTAATTGGACGATGCATAATTGTATTAAAATATTCATAAAAACTCAAGGGAATCTAAATTCAGACGTTTGCAGATTCGCGAGACGATGCTTACTTGTCAAAATCGGAATGAAATATCGCAGCGCTTCGCAGTAAAGATAAAATGCCTCTTTTGCATTCTTCTCGGTATCCATCTCGACGGCTTTGTGCACCAGCGCGGCCGCCTTATCGTAATTTTCTTTCGTGGGGGCGTGCTCCAAGTCCAGAAAGTCGTGCGCGAAAAATTCATCGTACGTTATACGATCGGCAGGATTGTGCTTGAGCAGAGCCATAAGTAAGTTCTTACACGTCGCCGACACATGAGCCGCCTTCGGCACCTACGGTGAATAATATTTAACACTTAAAAACGAATCATAATCACATGCAAACGCGAATGCCAATTAACTTGCGTAATTATTTATGTCGAGTTAATGATCTGCACGATCATTGAATTGTTTGTCTCGCGACAGTCGTAACAACGTAACTGTACAGGCCCTCTAGTCAGAGGGTCCGGTCAACAAACGCCAACTTTCGTTTGATCCTTCTATTTCCGGTAACTCCCGAAAGAAAAATAGAGAAATCGAAAGAGAAGCGGAAAGAGAAGGACGGAGGAAGGAGATAGAAATAGCGTATATCCTTCTCTCTCGCAGATTCTACTTCTTACTCGAATCGCAAGAATCTCGAAACTCAATATATGATGCGTGCATTTAATAAAAAGAATATTACATCAAGCTTTTTTTTAAATTAATTTGAAACTTAAACGCCATTTAGGACCTGGCGTAGGTGGTGGCCAATTAAATTACTAAATTCCTAAATGGCGTTTAAGTTTCAAATTGATTTATATCTTAAAGGACCGAGTTAAAAATTTGTTTTTTTTAAGCCAGACCGCTAGAATGCAAATGAGACAAGTGCTAATGACGGGATCACCTCTATCGGTCGACTGTCCTTGATCTTTTCCGCCAGTTCCTGAAAGCTACTGCTGGAATACGGAGCTTTTCCGAAAAGGCACTCGTACATGATCACTCCGACGCTCCACAGATCGACGCGGGCGTCATACTTGTGCTTCAGCAGCATCTCGGGTGCCATGTAAAGAGGCGAACCGCGTATCGCGAATTTGTGCTCCGAGTTGGAGAGGTATTGCGCGAAACCAAAATCTGTAAACGGCGAAAAGATAAGTCGTGGGACGTGGGACGCGACGACCCCCTCCCTCCTGTCCTTCTCCTCGAACGATCACTCGGAGAGGGAGACGTCTCGGTTTATCGGTTAAGGCCCAAACGCAATGCCAGGCAACAGGGAATAGAATTTCCGACGCGTTGGATTGGGTGGAAGAAAATTTCCGACGAATCCAACGCGTCAAGCCCATCACACAATGCCAGGCAACAGGAACAGGGAATAGAATTTCTAACGCGTTGGATTGGTTGGAAGAAAATTTCCGACGAATCCAACGCGTCAGAAATTCTATTCCCTGTTCCTGTTGCCTGACATTGTGTAATAGGCTTCAAAAAAGTCTATTTCTTATTCCTGTTACCTGTTGCCTGGCATTGTGTGATGGGCTTTACCGACCTCCAACTTTGAGCACTAGCTGAGGTTTCCTCACGAGCAGCAGATTTTGTGGTTTGAGATCCATGTGGCAGACGTTGTGATCACGCAGATACTTCAACGCTAGCGCGAGTTGCTGTAGAAATCTGCGACACGTGCTCTCGGGTAGCTTGTGCTTTTTCTTTATGAAGCTCGACAGGTCCCCGCCGTCGCAGTACTCCATGACGATGTATATGTGCCTGTTCGTACGTACATATGCATTTTTTTTTATTCCTCGGAAGAGGAGACACGGTCGATCGAGAGTGAGATTTCTTATCGGACCGGCTGTCCGCGATCGATCTAATTCGCTCAGCCGTGCTCTAGCAGCGAGATAACGCTATAGTATCATAAAGACTCAACGAACCCTTCGTCCCAGAAAAAATCTTTCATCTCCACGATATGCTCGTGCTTGAGGACGTTTAGCAACTTGATTTCCGTCACGAGATTGTCGACCGCCGATTTCGAGAGCGTACCTTTGTCCACACATTTGACAGCGACTACCTCTCGGCTCCCGTCCTAAGATTGGCATTATAAACTTTGAGAGCTTTGCGATTTGGAACGCTAAATTTCTACCGAAAAGTAGTCGCGAGAATCTTTCTCTCGATAAAACTAAAAGTAGTGTAAACTTTGCTATATAGGATGTCCCATTTTAATCGATCACCCCTCGTAACTTTGCAAGGTGACCTTCACGTGACCTTCAAGCAATTATTCGAGGTCAAATTAATGACACAATCTTATGTTCCCCTTGAAGCCATACAACTTTTGCCTCAAACATTGTTCTCTACGACCGCTTCCTGCGATTACAATGGGACACCCTGTAGAGTAAAAGGATTTCTCACACGGTACAAAAGCTCAAAGTTTCTTGAAGGTTTATGCTGTATGAGTTTTGACCTCTCACGGAAATAAATTCGGTAAACCATCGGAAAACCCACGTATATGAAATAATGGGTAAGAATACCCAATTCCTATGTATTTTTGTGTTCTGAACACAAATATGTAACTTGAAAATGGCGCTCGGGACAAGAAACATCGAAAACCATGAAAAATAAAAATAAAAATTATGGTTTAATAAAGGATATAAGAACCAACACAGGATGTTAGTGTTTAAATGATTTTAATTTTTAAATTTTTCGTAATAAATTTAAAAATTAAATAATTAAAATTATTTAGACACTAGCACTCTGTCTTGGCTCTTATATCCTTTATTCCTTTGACTTGTGATTTTACGTCAAAGCTTTATGAATTTTATTATTTAAATTTCTTTCGTATACAAAAAAAGCTCAAAAACATGGGCAAATTCTTTTTTAATCTGTGTGGGACCTAACTCTCATTTAGCTTAACCCGAAAACAGTCATCTGAAGGATTTTACATCCTAACGTCGAAAAAATAAAGCTCGTATGACCGTACTTTTTTACGCAGAATCTACATTTATTTGAAAGGTTTGTTGAGACTGGACCTGCATAGTAGAAAGAGTTTAAAACTTTACACTTGTTTTATTGTTATTTTTCTTTCCAAAAATGAAACCTTGCACAAGGCATGGAAAGCTAGCTACGCTACTGTTCTTAAGAGCAATGCTTCATTTTTCTTGAAACAGAATTCGCTTTTGTGTCACCAATTTTGAGGTTTTTTGTATACGAAAGAAAATTTTTTTTAACAACTTCAATTCATAATATTACCACGAGAAGTCAAAACTCAGACCTTTATGAAATCCCTTTTATAGTAAACTACCGTAAAGGAATTCTTTTGTATTCATTTTGAATAGATTTTACGTTTATTTGTCACGAAGTAAAGAATGAGTGAATTCTTTCCGAGTTCATAATCTGTGGTATTTGAGTTCTTAGATATGATATATAGATTCCTCTATATAGATTTACTCACTATTTTCTGGATAAAGTAAGAACTCAAATACCACAGACTTTGGATATATTCTGATAAGAGCCGAGTATGTATATCCTGGTGTCGTCCAGCACGGTTCTCGTTCCCGTCACTTTCTCGATTGTTAACTTTGTTCTTCCGCCCTTGCCCAGTAATCTGTCGACTGTCCCATAGACCTAGTATACGTGTTCCCAACGTGTCACGAACATAACAGAGAGACAATCTATATACTATATAGAGATATAGATTTACTCACTATTTTCTGGATAAAGTAAGAACTCAAATACCACAGATTATGAACTCGAAAAGAATTCATAGAGTAATCTATATAGAGGAAAGTTTCCTATTGTGGGACAAGTTCCTAATACGAGATAGCGGGGTTTCTGCTAAATTATTAAGCATTATCTATTCCACCATGAATCTAGTGCCCTTGGGGCGAAATCTGTTTTGTGGAAAATTCATTGTTAGATCGTGTAATTGTCGCGAAGAAAAATTTGTGATCAAATTTGGACGTTGAAAACCGAGAGGAAAACTCGCTGAGGGCATTGCGGTGTGCAGATTTGCGGTATTACTGGACGTTACTAGGCATTTTTTGGGCGTTAGGCCTTGCTGGGGCATTATAAAGATAAAATAAGATAAAACAAGATAAATAAAACAAAATAAGATAATAAAGTAATGTCCATTAGGTAATGTCCATTAACAGGTATTGGTGTGCATGATTTTAGTCAGCGATTACTCTTGAAAACCCACTTATCTCACATTAGAGATCTATCTTATAACAGGGGACTTTCCTCTGTAATGTCCTCAAATACACAGAAAGAATTCTGTCTCAGACTCTACCTAAGGATCGCGACATCGTGCGACAACGTGGCATTTCAAACAAGTTTGTGAGCCTTTTGAAACATTGCCATACATTCACTAGTAAGTTGTCCCACGATTGCACGATTCTCAGGGCGAACTTTAAGAGAAAATTCTCCCCGCGTACGAATACATTATAACAATCAATACAATACGTAATTAGATTTTTTAAACAGTCAGACAATGACTTAAAAACGTAACAAATTATCTCACAAGATCGTTATCGCAAAGCGAAAAAAGGTTACTACTTCCGGATTAAAGTTGAAAGCTCGGGGGGGGGGGGGGGGGAGGCGAGTTCGACCCTGCAGCCGAGCGCGTGCAAACACTATCGAGAGTTTCCGGCGGTAACGCGCGTCTGCCTTTCGGCGAGTAGTGAAAAAAGGATGCGTAAGAGAAAGCATTAGGCTGATTGCAGACAACTATCCGTAAGCGCTTAAGACTGACGTAGTCGTAGACTTAAGGTAAGGCAGAGAAAAACGTAAGCCGTAAGGCCCGGTCTACAATGAGTTGTTAGTCGTTAGTCAGAAGTCGGAACTATATGTCGGTCCTTTTTCTTCCACCCAGAAAGGAAAAGGATCAACGTATAGTTGCGACTTCTGACTAACGATTAACGACTCATTGTAGACCGGGCCTAAGGAACACGTGTTCCACGGCTTACGTTTTTCTCTGCCTTACCTTAAGTCTACGACTACGTCAGTCTTAAGCGCTTACGGATAGTTGTCTGCCATCAGCCTTACGCGCAACGCGTGAGCGAGCGGGTATACGCTCGCGTGTCCTTTCGCGACGAATGGACGATCGATGCCGGGTAGGGTGGTGGACTCGCAGGTGGACTCAGGGAACTGACATAACCTGGATCTCTCTCTCTCTCTCGAAAAGAAGGGAAATAACCAGGGGATCCTTCCGTACCTTTTTGAGCGCCTTGTACACAGTCGCGTAGCTTCCGCTGCCGATCTTTTCTAGCATACAGTAGTCCCTTACGGTCGGCAGGCTCATTGTTCTAACGCTAATTCAGTACGTGGCATTCGCGGCGGAAACGTCATAAGGGTAAACGCGACGGTATGCGACTTTTGCCCTGCCTCGCGTCGCTCGTGCGCGCCAGTTTCCTCACCCATAGGCGTAATCTCGGAAATTGTCGACGCTAAAATAAATTGACAACTTGACTTTTTCTCAAAGAGGGCGGGAGGGGGAATTGCACTTCGGGAGACGACGCGGCCTTCAACCCCACCTTTGGGTTGCGCGGCGCGATTCGATAATTCGATTCTTTAATCTAGGTTGGGCGAGCGTGGCGCAGAGGTGGACGCTGCTCGATAGACAAATAAACGAGAACACCGCTAGTTTCCTTGGGCGGATTTTAATCGAATGCCATCTCCTCTCGGAGAGAACTACCAAAAGTATTTAATGTTTCTCCTATATTATACATCTACTCCGCCGTTGCTGGTCCCAGGCGCGGTTTTGAGAAAGGAGGCGAGGTTAGCAACGTGCCCGATGCAAAAAAATACACCGCTCACAGTACCAAAGTACTAGTCTAGGACGGAATATTCCCTACACTAAGAAGAATCTAGGTTAAGGGCCAGTTTCACAAACGTCGTTTAACCGCTAACCCATGGTTATCGATCCTCTGTCTCTTCTTGGATAACAAGATTGAGAAAGATAGGAAGATGAACTCTGGTTAACAGTTAACTGACGCTTGTGAAACTGGACCTAAGAAAGCTCGCGCGGTTTCTCCTTCTGGGACTCGACCGTGAATGGTTTTCCCCACAGTTTCCCCACACAGCGAGAAAATTCCACTGACGGGTTTAATATTTATCAATGAAATTTTTCACTTTTCACGAGTTCACGCGAGGGAAAAAGATCCACGATCGTGCCCCTGGCTACAGAAAAGGAACCTAACCTCTAAAACGGAACTAAAATCGGCCCCCGACAGGTTTTCCTCATTTTGACGCGTATACTAAACGGTTCTCGCCGTAAGGGCCGTGCAACGAGCGTTTTCTCGACGCGACTCATGAGTGGCTGCGATCGAGACGACTCTGATTCCCGGCGCGACTCAACTCACTCGACTCTCCGAGCGACGACGAGGAGAGGGACGGTGCGCGCGCGGTCGGATATCGGGCAGCGTCGCGATTTACATATCCACTCGTAACGTAAACAGCCGCGGCACGTCGCGCGTACGTGCCGAACCATGGTGGAAGAAGCAAGGCGAAGCATTCCCGGCGCTGCGCACTCGTACAATTTTTAAGAGCCAATCGTCGCGCGACCCATTTCGCAAGGAAAGTTCGCGTCCACCCACGTCCACCGGTGGGTTTCACGCAGAATGGGTTACCCCCGATTGGTCCAACCGCCAGAGCGGCCGCCATTATGCGCAATGTCTCACCTTACTTTTTCCACCGTGTACTAAACGTGCGCGCACGGAGCGCCCGCGCGTACCCAGCCGTCAGCTGTGCGCGCCGCGAGAGATACGCGCGGCGAGCGTGGCTCACTTGGCGGCGCCGGGACGAATCACACGCCGTGACTCACACTCTGCCCGGCTAGAGTCACGGAGTAGTTGTCGCGGGGCCTCGAACAGCTCGCGGTCGTCGGTAGATTCGTGTTCGCGCGCGCGCGCGACGTCGCCTCCCCCGCGCGATTGTTCCGCGAAATCGTCGGTGCGTCATCTCATCGACCACTCCCGGCCAGCATCGCGGTCTCCCGACGTCGACGACGACGGCAGAGAGTGCGGGTGGCACGCATCGTCGCTCGATCACCGAGGGATCCCCGATGTCGCGCGTCGTCGCGGACGTGGCAGCAGCGCTCGGGCTATAGACCCGTTTGAGATCGACTCTCTCTTTCTCTCTCCCCTGCCGTCCCTCTTTCTCCTTCTCATCTCTCTCTCTCTCTCTCTCCCTCGCTTCCTTTCATGGCGAACGGCGCGTTCTCCGTGATCGCGGACTCGCGGATTCTCTTTGTGCGGAGTCGCTCGCAACCACGTCGCGGCAGCCGTCACGATGGGCAAGGATAAACGCCCGCTGGCCGCGACGCGACCTCGTTAGCACGGTGCGTCATTTCCCCGTGTGTATGTTGTGCGTGTTGTGCGCCTGAGGTGGTGTGGTACTACGACGCGTCCCCCCGAGTCTCGCGATCCATCGACGCGCTCCGGAAAACGGAGCGTCCGCGCACGAATGCAACGCGGACTCGTCCCTCGACGGCGGGGCATCGCGTCGGCCGCGCGCCGTGTTCTACGGTTTGTTGTTTATCATGTCTCCTGCGGACTAGCGTGACGCGCGATTATCCAATGAGCGCAAAGATTTTAAAGGGAAAGTGTACAGTTTTCTCACAAAGACCGCACAAGACACAAAGTTGGATTATCGCGCGTCGCGTTGTCGCGCTGATCCGCGAGAGCCCCTCGTCCGTTCCCGTGAGTCTCGTCGGAGATCACGCGCGACGCCCGCGCGAAATTTCGCCAGTGCCCCCCCGAGCGTGTCCTCGTCCCCGCGCGCGAAATCGATTGCCCTTGAACCGACGTGTCCGTCGTCGCGTTTCGTTATAAACGCGCGCGTGTGCTAATTAGTGAGTTGCGAAACGCGCGCGCGCGCACGCACGCACGCGTACGTGCGTACGCAGGCGGGCTCGTCCTTCGCGCGTGTATTTATATCGTGTGCAAAATCGAAGTCGACTGCTCCGACTCGGCCTCCGCGTCCACATTTAGGCGCGCGTCTCGCTCGGGGCCTCGACGCGGCGACGCCTCGCGACCGCGTAACTTGGCGCCGACGACCTCGCGGCGGTGTGAAAACGTTCCCTCTCGCGCGCCGTCGATCGCGTCCCGTCGCGTCGCATCGCATCGCATCGTCCGTCTCGAGTGTCGCAATCGGGCTGACCGAGCGCGAACGTCCTCGCACCGCCGTGAGACTAGCCGCCAGCGCGCCCCGCCGCCGGAGTTCATCTCCGATGTTTTGGCAGCTGACTTTGTTCCCTTTTCTCGCCCCGTAACGGAAACGTCGTCCGAGTCCCCGCCAGCGACCGCTCGCGCCGCGCCGAGAGGATCGGACGCCCCCGCGGCGATCGGCGTCGCGACGCGCGCCCCTCGCAGGACCGTCCTACCCCGGACGCTTTATTCGGCCACCGTCGAGGAGCGATGACGTCACGTACCGAGACATAGGCTATTTTCTCGCGGCAGGTGCGCGTCCCTCGCTCCGAAAAAAAAAAGAAGAAAAGAAAGGAGACCGAGCCCTGAGTGAACCTCCCAAACCCGTCGGGAGAGCGCGAGTCGCGATCGCCCCGTGTTAATAAAATGAAATTGTATCCAGGACGAAACGTTACTCGAGTCAGCGCGGCGCAGATCAACGTTCCCGCGAGCTCCCCGTGCCCGATGCCGCGCTCGTAAGCTGCGATCCGAACGTTTGCGACGGGACATTTGCCGCCTCGAGATAGAAGCCCGGTCACTATAGAAACCTAGAGGTTCAGCCGCAACGTGCACACAATGGATTCGGAGGAGGAGACGCTCTACGACGACGTCGACTCCGGTAACGAGTCGAGCGGCGACGACGTCGACTTCGCCATGGAAATCGAGTCCGGTAATCCGCGGGAGCGGTCGACCGACGTCGACGAGTACCCCTTCGAGGTGCTGTCCACGGAGGAGATTGTCCAGCACATGGTCGACTCCATAAAGGAGGTCAACACCGTTGTCGAAGTGAGTTGTCGTGAGTCTGCGGTGTCTCTGCGGATGGAAATATAGGAGGGCGCGCGTTACATGTGTACACGTCCATTCGTAGATACCAGCCACCACCACGCGTATTTTGTTAAATCACTTCAAGTGGGACAAAGAGAAGCTGATGGAACGGTTTTACGATGGCGACCAGGAGAAGCTGTTTGCCGAGGCGCGCGTCATTAATCCATTCAGGAAGGGTCCGCTGATAAGTAGGAGTCGGTCGTCGCAAAGCTCACTGGTAAACGTACGTGTATAATTTGTGCTTTTGCTGCGTTTAACTGTCGACGAGTTTGCGCTACAAAAATTATAATGTTGCATACGTTTGTGACACAGCCTAAAAGACCGACAAACGGAACGGAGGAATGTGGAATCTGTTTTATGATCTTGCCGTCTTCAGTAAGTCTATTTTACCCAGGTTGTTTAAAGGGTATGTTAGTGGAGGTGAAATATATTTAAAATGAAAAACACCGTTCTAGATGATGACTGGACTGGAATGCGGACATCGTTTCTGTACCGGTTGCTGGGGAGAATACTTGACTACCAAAATCATGGAAGAGGGAGTTGGACAAACAATAGCGTGCGCCGCTCACGCTTGTGACATTTTAGTCGACGATGCCAGTGTTATGCGGCTTGTCAAAGATTCCAAAGTTAAATTAAAATATCAACACTTAATCACCAATAGCTTCGTCGAAGTAAATATTCAATAGGCGTTAGTCAAATTTGTTGGATGTTACGAGTGTCCATCACGTTTCTTTTCTCCGCAGTGCAACAGGCTACTGAGATGGTGTCCTTCCCCCGATTGCAATAATGCTATTAAGGTACAGTACGTGGAGCCGAAACCGGTTACTTGTAAATGTGGACATATCTTCTGTTTCCACTGTGGCGAAAACTGGCATGATCCTGTAAAGTGTCACCTACTCCGCAAGTGGATCAAAAAGTGCGACGACGACTCCGAAACGTCAAACTGGATCGCAGCTAATACGAAGGAGTGTCCCAAGTGTAACGTTACCATCGAAAAAGATGGCGGATGCAACCATATGGTTTGCAAGAATCAGAATTGTAAAACTGAATTCTGTTGGGTATGTCTTGGGCCTTGGGAGCCGCATGGTTCTAGCTGGTACAATTGTAACCGTTACGACGAAGAGGAGGCTAAAGTAGCTAGGGATGCGCAAGAGAAGTCGAGATCAGCTTTACAGAGATATTTATTTTACTGCAATAGATACATGAATCACATGCAATCGCTGAAGTTTGAAAGTAAATTGTATGCCAGTGTGAAGGAGAAAATGGAAGAAATGCAGCAGCATAATATGTCGTGGATTGAGGTACAATGATCGTGTATTTACGTATATATATACTAAATCATTCCGAGTAGGTGCCTCGTAGAGATTTCGATAATCGATAAAATTTTCGACAGAATTTTTTTAAGGGGCTAAGCCCCCTTAAGAGCCGATTAAAATTAGCCAATCGTACAGGTGTATTAATGATTATTATAAATTAACTCCCTCAAATTTATCGGACAATAAATTTATATACCATCGATATTATTTTCCAATAATTTGCAGGTGCAATTTTTAAAGAAGGCAGTTGACATTTTGTGTTCCTGTAGACAGACTCTCATGTACACTTATGTTTTTGCTTATTACGTGAAAAAGAACAATCAGTCTGTGATTTTTGAGGATAACCAAAAGGATTTGGAAAGCGCCACGGAATGTCTCTCTGAATATCTTGAAAGGGATATCACGAGCGAAAACCTTGCAGACATTAAACAAAAGGTTCAGGATAAATATAGGTAAGGATTATGCATCGTTACTTTTAGGATAACGAGACATCTTGCTTATGTTACGTTTGTGTTTTAAAATTAAACGTTACATTTTCCTTTGAAGATACTGCGATAGTCGGAGAAAAGTGCTTTTGGAACATGTCCACGAAGGGTACGAGAAGGAATGGTGGGATTACAAGGAATAGAGGAGTTTTGCTAGTTTTATTTCTCGGGGTGACACAAGTCCTCTTCCTTCCCACCTCTGCCCCAGCTGTGATAAACCAAGAATGAAGTTAACAAGAAGACGGAATGGAGCATGTCACAAAGTGATAAACGTGTTATATGCACTTTATACATAATATGCTCTGTGGCAACGTATAATGTCGTTTATGATTAATATTGAACTCAAATTATTAAAATTCAATTCCGATCACAAACAAGATTGGACAATATCTTGATTTGCGCTTGCTGTGTGTTGTACATCATTGTAGATTCTTGGATCCTTGATAAAAAAAAATACCCCATTGTTTTAGGTAATTGTAAGAAAGGTTATATTCATTAAGACGAGCAAGATGTGTCATTTTTCGCAACTTGGCGTGTTGCGATGTATGACTTGGCTAAAACTTTGCTATTTTATTTAGCATATTTTATCGACATTAGTCGAATTGAAAGCTTTCGAATCCTGAGAATTTATTTTCTTCCCCTTAATTTTAAGGCTAGCTGTTTAAAATAAGTCAGGTACAGTTCAAATAAATCATCCCAACTGTTTTAGTCTATTTTGGACCACAATACGTCCAGGCTACAACTGCCAATGTTTAAAAAACACTAAATTACCTACATGCGTATCGTCAGTGCTATGTATTTATACTTAATGGTTGAAATTTTTTAATCCTTTTTGTATACCATTTCAGAAACTATTTTAAGTACGTATCATATCACTGTTTTTTCTTATGTATATTTTGTCTTTTTTCAAAGGTAAATTATATATAATATCAGTTAGTTGCTTCTACAGAGTGACATTGTGCAGATAAAGGGGGCCAAGTTTGTGATATCTTTCACATGTATCATAATCCATCTCTGCATGTAAAAGTAGAACACACTACAATTGTAAACTTGCAAGAAAAAAAAGTCATATTTTTGCCATTATTCATTTCGTGATCTTATGTGTTTAAAAAGAATTATACGTTTGTATGAATGTATATCTTTATATTGCATGTATTGCATGTTATGTTTCGATTTTAAACATGGATATATTGTGACAAAAAATTGAAAGAACATGTTCTCGTACACACGTAACGACTTTTTAAATACTTTATTTATATATAGTAACACAAATTCATAATTAATAAAGATATTGATAAGATCAATTTCAGGTAAATTTTTCATCTTTGTTGAAATTATCTTTATTGTCTCGCTATCATTCTTTTGTCATCATTGTCCCTCGTTTCTTTTATTCAATCTTATTGGATATCTATTCGCATAACGCTGACGATATGTTTTGTTAGCTAACTAATTGAAGGTTGACTACAAATAAAATAACCACTTATAATTGTCAATAATAAATAAAGTGGCAAACGAAATGAGTTTTCCGTTTGTACAGTTAATATAGTATATATATATCCACACACATACACACACACACACACACACACACACAGAGAGATGCATAATACATACAATTAAAACATAGTAATATCGATAATAGCAAAGTAGAGAATTTTGAAGATTTATTAAACCGAAATTGTTGATTCTTGCTATTATGCACATTAGAATCTGAAATAAAAGTTGAGACGCAGTTGTTTTCTGTACAGTCGCAAAATTTGATTAGATGTAAGAAAATTGTTAGATATACTCGCCAAAATCTCTCATTTAGTTTGTGATTTTATAATCTAGATTACCATTCGATTCATAAGCTTTAATGACGTATTAATGAATGATGATGCTGTATAAAAATAAAACTGAATGTCCAAAATTTCTTGTACATGATCCGAATTTGACTTTTTAGGCCAAGTCTTCGTATTCATGAAAAAAAAATGTGTGGCATATGTGAAATTAAAATGTCTAGCTGTCAAACTATCAGACATATCTGACAAAGTACCATAGCCAGGCACTCGATTTTAGTTGAAATAGATTGCAAACTTTGTGTCAAAGACCTCATTATCCGTTCACGTTTAGTATTTACGAGTATTTTCAATGGCAAAACTTATACAATAATGAAATAAACTATTTTACTAGTAAAGTGTAATATATAGAAAGAACCGTGACTTTACTTTTGTAGCTATATAAACCAATACGTACATTATCATGCATTCATCATCTTTACGAGATCTTTAGGGATAGATTTCTAATCATCGTTCGGTGTTGCCTTTTGTTAACGTATATAATTATAAATATATAATATATGTATTGTAAATACTGCATTATATATATATATTATATATACATACATCCATCCACATATATACATATACATACATTGTAAATTCTAAGTGATTTAGATCTCAGTAGTTTCATGGATATGAAAATATGTGCGAGATTTCGATGCTGAAAATGATAGTTAATATATTTCCTTGGCAGAAATGTATCCTCCTTTTTGGTTATAAGAAATAAAGAGAGGCAAGTTATTATATCCCAGCACCCTATTATACAATATTATACTTATCGTATACAAAATGTTTATATTTCCAACGTTTTCGCATTCATGCAGAGCCCGATAAGCCGCAGCTCTGATGTACAATGTGTAGCCTCTTTCGAGTGTGTTATTTTAAACAGAATTGCCCGCATGCAAATGTTGCTACTTACGCTATTCGGAACCGTTAATTCGTAACACATTCTACAGAAAAGAATTACATTTCTTACTTTCAAGCTGTTAATACGAATGGAATGTCAAGTGTCAATATCTTTTATTGTTCTTCATTAATTAATATTTTAGATTACATAGGTACGATTAGGAGGATTGTGTTCACTGCAGTAGGAATGATGGCGTTATTTTACATGAAGTTAGCATTTTTGATTATTTGCAAACGTATACATCAAAAGTACGTCGCCTGTGGTATTTCGTAGCGATTAAGACTGATCCCCATTGTCACGATACGCAACGGTGTAGTAAAACTTATCGCTTATAATTTAATTATGATACATTACAAGATGCTTTAACGATGTTGACTCGATGTCTTCCCAGAAAACAAAAAGTACTTGTACCATGTAAATAAGTCTTTATATTATTTTATGAGCGGTTTTTATTTGTAGTAATATAATCGCTTCATAAAACTATATTTAAATTTTCATAACAGTAACTTGTACTCTACCCTGTAAATTTCCATCGATAGTAAATTTCCATTGATACGCACGATAATGTACGAGAGATTATTAATTTTGTAGCGAACAGTACATACCTACATGTATTTTAATACTAAATGGGAATCGACAGATGAGAAAATACGTTGAATTTTGTTTTTTTATGGAGTTGCAAAAACCGTTCCATAATCATCTTCGCAGTAGGTATTTTTTAATCTCTTTGTCTCGTTCCAGTAATGATTACAGGAGGACGATCGAATTATTTTATAAAAGTATTTATTCTGAATATGCTTATAAAATTTTTGCGCAAGTGTAATAGAATATATCAACATATAAAAAGGTAGCCATTATTGGAATATACATGATGGTGTAGCTCCGTAGCCATCGTTTTTTTCCGCCGGTATTACATGTATGCCTTACAGTTTAAAAGTGTGGTTGCGATCGGTTCTGTGACCAAAGAGATACTTGAAAGAATTTATTATTTTAATATATTCTCTACCTAAAATAAATTATAAATAAATAGATTGTGTCTACCTAAATTCAATATAATTTCGAGATTCTTGTTTCTGTTGTTGCATAAATTTCTAAAAATTTCTTCAATTTGGAGTATTATCATTAGGAATTACTTTAATATAAAATGTCTATTGTAGAAATTAAATAAGATAGTCTGTCTACTAATTTCACTAGTCTGTTATAAGGTATCGTAATAGGAAACTAGCGTCATTGTCTGTCGCTCATGCTATGTATGCTCGCTGGAGTTATATAAAAAGTAGGATGATCCTCTAAGCCGAGTGACATTGATATGAAAATTGTGTGTGTCAACGCGTTGATGTATCTCTTGTTAATTTGCCGTGTTTCTCGTATAGACGTAGCAAGCGCGCCGCGTTTGAGTCGAATCGTCCCGGTGTCCGGTGTAAAATGTTGACAGCGTTGTGCGTTACGCTTATAGAAATCTACTCGCGTCTCTCTCGAGGGTATCCTCGTAGAACGTAAGTACGCTTCTTGAACAAGACGTTTTCAAGTTGCACGATCCCGTGAGGTTCCATCAAGAAGTTACCGACAAGATCGTGGCGATCAGACCCAGAGTGGCTCCCGTCATCAGCAGACTCCGCCAAACCGCTCCGCTGACCTCCTCGGCCACGGGGTACTCGACGCACAATTGTTCCTGCAAAACGGCAACGCAACACAGGTTTGTGCATCCCGTATGCGAGACGCCTGACGGCCTTGGCCCTGGCAATAATTAACGATAGCGCGCACTCACCCATCCGCCGTAGCCCTTGATAAAGTGCGTTATGTTTTCACCAACGTATCTGGAGACGTACTGCGGCAATTTCTTTTTAAGACTGTGCATCCTTCTGTCCCTGGCCCATAGAGCCAGTCTGCCCATGAAGGCGTATAAGCAGACGATCCTGGCCCATGTGATGACGTCGTGTAAGAACAGCTCGTTGGCGACCCCCATAAACGTCTCGTAAGCGGTGTCCGGGACGACGTTCAAGCGATTTACCATACTCGTAAAGAGAATGCTGTGTTTGTTGAGCATTTGATATACATTGTGCCTCATGCTGCGCGAGACTGGATCCTGGGATATAAGATAGATATCCTCCTTCAGCAGGTACCGTATCACATCATCGGCCAGGGTCTCCGCGGTCGTTTCTATAGAGAGGTCGTGGATATTGTAACGCGGCGGTGGGCGCAGTTGCGGGAAGAGATACTGGAGTCGAATCTAAAAAGGACAAGACACCCCGGCGTGAATCAGCCTGCCTTTCCTCCCTCCCCGTGTCACGTCGCGAAACACGCGGAAATTAAGCGCGCGGCGGCCGTTCCGCGTTCGCGACCGATCCGGACGATCGCGACCGGCGTGCCGTTAACCGCCGACATACGATACCTGACACATCTCGAAGAAAGACATAGCGCGGTTAGCAGCGCCGACCGCATATCGGCAGACACCGTCCTCGTTGTTAGCGGCGGCTCGCTCGTTGGACGAATTCCTGTTACCGGGGGGATCGCATTCCAGAGTGGGCGGCATTCTGGAATGCAGTTCCCCTCGCGCTGGCGTACCCTGCCCCTCCTCCCCACCCTCCGCCTCGAGGACCTCATTGTTCGTCGTCGTGCCGTCGTCGCCGGCCATCCTCTTCTTCGCCGTAACCGGACCGAGGAACCGCTCCCACCTCCGTCTCCGTCGTTTCCGTTCTCTCCAAGACGTCGTCTCCGCAGAACTCGTCGTGCGATGCCCCGTCGCTCTCACATATCTCACGCTGCTCTCCGAGATCGTCCGATGCGCGAATCGATCGCGCGCCCCCCGATGCGGCCGGATGGACGAGCGCGCGCTGCTCCGAAAACTTGGACCACGACCGACCGATCCAGCCCGGCCGACCAGCCTGCCTGCCTGCCTGCCAGCCAGCGACCAAACGCTCCGCTCTCTACTTTCCCGCGGCCATTTCCGAAGCCGATGCCGAGAAGCCGAAACCGCGCCGCGCCGTGCCGTTTCCTCCGCTCTTGCTCCGCGTCTCGCACCTTCTACCGTACCGCTCCCTCGGCTTGCCTGCCTGCCTGCTTGCCTGCCTGCCTGCCTGCCTGCCTGCTTGCCTGCGATGCCGCCAACCAGCCCCCCGACCCACGAATGTTTCACATCACTACCACTACCGCTTATCTCGAGACTCTACCCCACCGCGCCGCGTAATGCCGAGTACTGTATGACATAGCTCAGCGTCTCTCAGCGGCGGCGATCGACGCGTTAGCCGAGTCGCGCGTCGTACGGGAGGGTGTCGCGTTTCGTTGGACGTCCGGGGTCGCCGACGACTCGGGGAAACGTTAACGACGGCGACGCCTCGCCGCGTCGCGGACAATCGGGGGTCGCTCGCGTCGATCGCCGATCGGCTCGCGGACGGTTGAGAGCCCGTGGCGCGAGCGCGGAGCAGCGCCGGGCGATCGCCGACGGCGCGGCACTCTCACGCGCGCAGCGCGCGCCACACCGTCGCACACCAGCGCACCGACTCTCTATGGATCATTCACGTTTCCGCCCCACCACCGCGCCGCTCCGACACGTGCACCGTGTGCATGCACGCGCGCGCGCGTGTGTCCGTACGCGCCATCTCGGTCCCACCTTCGCGGCGCGCTCGCAACCCTTTCCAGCGCCCGCGCGCGCTCTTTCTCACGCACGTGCGTGCGGGAGCGCGAGCGGGTTTACCTGCGCGGCGTCGCTCTACGTACTTCTTGCTACTTGTGTGCGAGGGAATGGAATTTTCGATGGAACGCCGGCTTCGTCCGCGGCGTCTCTCGGTGCGCGATTATCACCTCGGCATCTCGAGGATACTTCGAGGATTTCGAGGAGGGCTCGATACGTTTCTCGCGCCGCTCGAAATGTCGGGGCGGACGCCGGGAGTCGTGTTCGCGAGAGCTGCGGGCTCTATCTCCCTCGCTCCTCGAGTCCGCCGCTTGCGCAACCGTCGAGAAATTTGTATTCATTCAGCTTTTCCGCGCGCCCCTCTCTTCCTCCTGAATTCCTCAGGGGATTGCGCGCGCGCGCGCGCGGATACTCGCGAGAGATGCATTATTCGCCGTAGCGGCGCGGAGAAACGGTGAAAGTCTCGGCCGCAGTTACCGTAGACCCTGCGAGTAACCGTAGACAAAATCGCTCTCGCATTGAAGCTGGCTAGAGAATTCTCTACGCGAGTCCAAGCGGAAGCGACATGAAGATACTAGAGTGTCGATAACGAAGCGTTCAAATCGGATTCGAAACGACATCACATGTGCTATCCACTGTTAACTTTCATGTACCTCATATATTTCATCGTTCGCAAAGTTAGCTAGAGAATTCTTTACGCGAGACGGACTGGGAACGACACGGAGATACTCGAGTATCGATGAACAAAGCGACTCTTGCGCTCGAA